TGTACACTCTCTGTGATATTGAAAGCAGTATCATCCTCTTCTCCCCTGAATATTATGAACAATATCACACGGGAGTGTACACCCCCTGCAATATTGTGAGTAATATCCATCCTCTCCCCCTCTGAATATTAGGAACAATATCATAGAAAGGGTGTACACCCCCTGTGATACTGGGAGTAATATCCTCTTCCCTTCTGGCTATTAGAAACAATATCACATTGAGAGTGTACATCCCCTGCAATATTGGAAGTAATATCCTTTTTCCCTCTGGATATTAGGAAAAAGATCACGGCAGGGGGGTGTACGCCACTTCGATATTGGGATTCATATCATTTATTCCTCCCCTGAATATTAGGAACAATATCATATGAAGGGTGTACACCCCCTGCGATATTGGGAGTGATATCATCATCTCCTCCCCTGGATATTAGCAACAATATCAAAGGGGGGGTGTACACTCCCTGGGATATTGAGAGTAATACCACACTTTCCCCCTATGAACAATATCACAGGGATGGTGTACCCCCTCTGAGATATTGGGAGTAATATCATCCTCTCCAGCCTCTGTGTATTAGGAACAATATCACAGAGGTAGCGTACACCCCCTGTGATATTGGGGGTAATATCATCCTCTCCACCCCTGGACATTAGGAAATATATTACGGGGGGGGGGTGTAAACCCCCTGCAAGTAATATCATTGTGAGTAATATCATTTTCTTTTCTTTTTTTTTCTTTTTTTTCTTTTTTTTTTTTTTTGAGATGGAGTCTCACTCTGTCTCCCAGACTAGAGTGCAGTGGCCTGATCTTGGCTCACTGCAACCTCCACCTCCCAAGCTCAGGAGATTCTCCTGCCTCAGCCTCCCTAGTAGCTGCGACTACAGGTTCGTGCCACCATGTCTGGCTAATTTTTTGTATTTTTAGTACAAACGGGATTTCATTATGTTAACCAGGATGGTCTCGATCTCCTTACCTCATGATCCACCTGCCTCAGCCTCCCAAAGTGCTGGGATTACAGGCATGAGCCACTGCGCCCTGCAAGTAGTATCATTTTTTTTCTACCCCCCGGATATTAGAAACAATATCAGAGGAGGGTGTACAGTTCCTGTGACATTGGGAGTAATATTATCTTCTCTTCCCCTGGATGTTAGGAACAATATCACAGGGTGTGTACACCTCCTGCGATATTGAAAGTAATATCATCATCTCCTTCCTTGGAAATTAGGAACAATATCACAGGGGTGTCTAAACCTTCTGCAATATTGGTAGTAATATCATCCTCTCCCCCGCTGGATATTAAAAACAATATCACAGGAAAGCTGTACATCTGCTGTGGTATGGAGAATAATATCATCCATCCTCTCTTCCCTTGGATATTAGGAACAATATCACAGAAGAATGTACACCTCCTGCAATACTGGGAGTAATATCATCCTCTCCCCCACTTGATATTAGAAAAACAACACAGATGTGCACACCCCCTGTGACTTTGGGAGTAATATCATCCAATTCCTTCTGGATATTAGGAACAATATCACAGGGTGGGAGGTGTAGGCCCCCTGCTATATTGGGAATAATATCATCCTCTTCTCCCGTGGATATTAGAAACAATATTACAGGGGCTGTGTAGACCCTCTGCGATATTGGGAGTAATATAATCATCTTCCCACCTGGATATTAGGAACAATATCATAATGGGGGTGTACACCCTTTGCGACATTGGGAGTAGTATCATCCTCTCCCCCCCGGATATTAGGAACAATATTTTGGGGGCGGTGTACACCCACTCTGATATTAAGAGTAATATCGGCCGGGCGCGGTGGCTCACGCCTGTAATCCTAGCACCTGGGGAGGCTGAGGTAGGCGGATTGCCTGAGCTCAGGAGTTTGAGACCAGCCTGGGCAACACCGTGAAACCCTGTCTCTACTAAAATACAAAAAATTAGCTGGTCGTGGTGGCGTGCGCTTGTAATCTCAGCTACTCAGGAGGCTGAGGCAGGAGAATTGCTTGAACCTGGGAGACGGAAGTTGCAGTGAACCGAGATCATGCCACTGCACTTCAGCCTGGGAAACAGAGCGAGACTCTGTCTCTTAAAACATAAAAAATTATTTAAAAAAAAAAAAAAGGCGGGCACGGTGGCTCACGCCTGTAATCCTAGCACTTTGGGAGGCCAAGGCGAGCGGATCATGAGGTCAGAAGATCGAAACCATCCTGGCTAACACGGTGAAATGCCATCTCTATTAAAAATACAAAAAATTAGCCGGGCGTTGTGGTGGGCACCTGTAGTCCCAGCTACTCGGGAGGCTGAGGCAGGAGAATGGCGTGAACCTGTGAGGTGGAGGTTGCAGTGAGCCAAGACCGTGCCACTGCTCTCCAGACTGGGCCACACAGCAAGACTCTGTCTCAAAAAAAAAAAAAAAAGAAAAGAAAAGAGTAATATCATCTTCTCCCTTTCGGGATATTAGGAACGATATCACAGGGGGAGTGTAGTACACCCCCTGGGATATTGGGAGTAGTATCATCCTCTTCACCCCTGGATATTAGGAACAATATCACAGGGGGTGTACACTCCCTGCAATATCATCCTTCTCCTTCTGGTTATTAGGAACAATATCCTCCTTCTCCATCATCCTCCTAATAAGGAACAATATCACGGGGGGTGTACACGTTCTGCGATATTGGGAGCAATATTATCCCATCCCTCTCTGGATATTAGAAACAATACCATGTGTACACCCCCTGTGATACTGGGAATAATATCATTCTCTCCCCTCATGAATATTAGGAACAATATTATAGGGGCGTTGTACACTCCCTGTGATATTGGAAGTAATATCGTTTCCCCCGTAAATATTAGGAACAATATCACAAGGGGGTGTACACCCTTTGCGATATTTGGAGTAATATCAACCCCCCTGGATATTAGGAACAATATTACAAAGGGAGTGTACACTCCCTGCGATATTGGGAGTAATATCATCTTCACCCACCATGGATATTTAACACACTATTACGGAGTGGGGGAGGTTGTACACCCCCTGCGATATTGGGAGTAATATCATCTTCTCTCCCCCTGTATATTAAGAACAATATCACAGGTGAGGTGTACACCCCTGGCAATATTGGGAGTAATATCATTCTTTCCCCCCTCCTAAATATTAGGAATAATATCACAGGGGTGGTGTACACCACCTGAGATATTGGGAGTAATATCATCCTCTTCCCCCTAGATATTGAAAACAATATCACAGCAGGGTTTACACTCCCTACGATATTGGTAGCAATATCATCCTCTCTTCCACCTGATTCTCTGTAGGACACGCACAGGGACTTTGTGAGAACAACAAAGAAAGCCAAGAGGTGAGAACACAAATGTCTGCCTTTAGGAGGATGCCCAGGCCGGTGCTGGGGCAGGGAGCCTAGGAAGGCCATTCGGGTTGACAGCAGCCAGGATCTGTGTGTCCAGTAGAGGGCGACCCTTCACACTGCTGGCTTTGGAAAGACTCCTTCCATTTTACAAAAGTGTAATTAAAACAAGGCTGCCATTAGGGGTTGCTAAGGTGATGAGCTCTCGCCTCTTCTGGCTTGTGGAGGCTATGACATTCCTTGTCTCATGCCCACATATCGCATTGCCCTTTCTCCCCAAATTCAGGCTCACATCACCTTCTTGTGAACTTAATCTCTCTCTGCCTCCCCCCTTATAAAGACACTTGTAGGCCAGGCGCAGTGGCTCATGCCTGTAATCTCAACACTTTGGGAGGCTGAGGCAGGTGGATCACCTGAGGTCAGGAGTTCAAGACCGGCCTGGCCCACATGGTGAAACCCCATCTCTACTAAAAATACAAAAAATTTAGCCAGATGTGGTGGCAGACGCCTGTAATCCCAGCTACTCGGGAGCCTGAGGCAGGAGAATCACTTGAACCCAGGATGCAGAGGTTGCAGTGAGCCGAGATGCACCATTGCAATCTCGCCTGGGCGACAAAAGCGAAACTCCATCTAAATAAATAAATAAATAAATAAATAAATAAATAAATAAATATTTTTATAAAGGACATTTGTGATTCCATTAGGGTATAGCCAGATAATCCAGGAGAATCTCCCAACCCTGAGATATTTAACCTAGCCAGGCATGGTGCTGCAATCCCAGCACTTTGGGAGGCTGAGCTTGGAAGATCTACTGAGTTCAGTTCAAGACCAGCCTGAGCAACATGGTGATACCCTGTCTCTACTAAAAATACAAAAATTAGCCAGGCATGGTGGCATGAACCTGTAGTCCCAGCTACTCAGGAGGCTGAGGCACAAGAATCGCTTGAACCCGGGAGGTAGAGGTTGCGAGTGGAAATCACCCCACTGCACTCCAACCTGAGCAACAGAGGCAGACTCCATCTCAAAAAACAAAACAAAACAAAAAAAGGTATTTAACCTTATCACATATGTGAAAGCCCTTTTGTCATAGAAAGTCACTTTCACAGGTCACAAGCTATAATTCCCATTTATGTGGGGGGCCCTTATTCAGCCCACCACACAAGAGAAACTTCAGAATACTCAGTCCATACACAGAAGCATTTGAATAAAAGCCTCCATTTCCTGCCCTGCATACTAGAGCATGGTAAAGTCTTTTCCTCTTAGTCATACCTCCTTCTGCTGCCCCGGAAGTAGATGGGTTCCCTTGCCCCTCCCCAGCTCTAACGTCTGAAATTGGCGCCATTTTACCACATCGTACACTCATTGACAGGCCACTTTCTGTCAGATCGACGTAAATCCCACGTAACTTCTCTTCAGGGGTTAGTCATAACGTAACTTGGTGTGAAACCAACAAAACCGCCTATTATGTTTGCCATGGATTCATGTATGTCATATATACAGAACAGGATCATGGAAAGTTTAGCAGAGTTGGGAGCTGATTATTTCACCCAAGAGATAGGAAAATTGCTAGAAGATAAATTAATGGCATATGGAATGATCGAGGCGACTATCTTAAGGCTGATGCTTATGTTTCCAGTCAAGAAGATACTGGTATATGTACTAAGGAAAACAGCTTCATTTACATGCAACCTGTTGTACATGCATTCTAAAGACGACATACATTTCTTCAAAAAGATTATGGGACACCAACCAAAACAAGTAAGTGTTGCTTAATTTCTGTTTATAAATCTAGGATGATCTCTGCATTATAGTAGGGAAATCTTAAAAGACAACATCACATACTAATGGTAAAAAAATGATGCGACATGAAAAAGTAACAGCATGAATACATCCAATTGCTATTTGTGAATTGAAAAACTAAATTTTAAAAAAATTAGCAGATTGTGAATGCGTTACTAATGATAAATTCTGTATTTTTTTTTTTTTCTGAGACAGAGTCTTGCTCTGTCACCCAGGCTGGAATGCAGTGGCACGATCTCAGCTCACTGCAACCTCTACCTCCCGGGTTCAAGCAATTCTCCTACCTCAGCCTCCTGAGTAGCTGAGACTACAGTCATACACCAACAGGCCTGGCTAATTTTTGTATTTTTAGTAGAAACAGGGTTTCTCCATATTGTTCAGGCTGGTCTCAAACTCCTGACGTCTGGTGATCCACCCATCTCGGCCTCCCAAAGTGCTGGGATTACAGGCATGAGCCACCATGCCCAACCAAATTCTGCAACTCATACCCATCTTTCTGCGACTACACTAAAGTTTTTCTTCCTGAATTGACGATGTTTCTGTGGTCTTACATATCACCGCAGAGCAATTTACATCGTTACTATTACTTTCATCTCACTAACTCCTCCTCCAGTCAAAAAAAAAAAAAATTGTCTTTAAGCTATGGAAATGAAGTGTTACTCAGCTGGGGTGACGTTATGTTGTGTTTCTGGGGTGTGACTTCCTGCTCATGTTGGGGTGAGACTGTGGGCTGTGGGCTGTGTGCTGAGGAGGAGGTCTCTCGATCTGGAGAGAACCCATTGTTGGGGAGACCTCCAAGGGGCTGAGGGGCCATGAGCCTGCCCGGGTTTAGAGCGCAGGATTCTGGGGTTGAATCCTAGGAATATTTGAGAACTTCTTGCCTCAGGAGGGGAAGATGCCTGGAGAATAAAGACAAACTATGGGTGTCTTGAGGGGCATATCCTAATTTGAGAGGAATCAAACCAAGGATGGAGTAGCTATGGCCTCCTTAAAGACTGAGATTGGGGAATAAACAGGATTCACAACGAGTTCATTGAGGAAGAAGCCATGAAGGGACAATTTTTGGTTGGGACAGAGGAAAGCTGAAGCTCTGCAGCTGGGGAGAAAGCCCTGGCAGGGAGAAAGTGACGCTGGAGGGGCCCTGCACACTCTGAGAGGCTGGAACTTCTAACCTGCTCCAGCACACCCATTTTCTGCAACCTTCTGCATTCTGAGCATTTGAACCCTCATTTCTCACTCCCCTTTTCTTGATTCTTCTGGGCAGCACATACTCCAAGGTCTTCCAGGCCCTCAATTCCCGACCCCCACTTCTGCAGTCATGGGGGACTCCAGGCACTGCAAGAATTTGAGTGGGAGCCTTGTTGCCTCTGATTGATTTATTGGATTTTTGGAGCTCCCCGCTGTCAAAGTTTAGGGTCCTGGATGCCCGTCCTCCCCAACCTGTCCTTTCCATTCTTGGAGCTAAGCTCTCTCCCACACCTCCCACCCTGTCAGGGCCCTCGTTTCCCTCCTCCTTCCCATCCCCATGCCCAGGCTCCTATTTAGCCTCTTGCTAGGATCTGGTATTTTCACGAACCACCAACTCACCTGGAGTCCTACTAAGGGGCAAGCAGGACTGAAGGAGGTCTTAGAGAGTGATAGTGGAGATTTTGTTTTTCCACAGCATCCCTCATCCACCCCCATAATGTTGCCACAGCCCCACCCAGACCCCTTTTTTAGAGCAAACTGCCCAAATCGCTCCCAGGTCATTGTCAGACAAAGGAAAACACCAGCCTTCACATTGGAAACCTCTTTCCCCCATGTCTAATTCCCACCCAAGTCGCCCTGCATCTTCTTCCCTTCCCCCAACCAGATGTTCATAACCCTCCTCTGCTCAGACACCACCTCCCACCCTCCTGCTCTCAAACTCCCTTCCTCTTTTGCAGGTTTCCTGCCTTCAGCTCCACTGCTGCCTCTGCAATATATGCATGCCCTCCACTTCCTCCTCATTCTCACAATATTCTGCCCTGGTGGGATTCTAACCTCCCTCTCCACTGTGTGCCAGCTCATCTGCTGTCCCTGATCTAACCCTTGGATGCTTGAGCCCCAAGATCTTTCTGTCTAAAAATCTATGAGCCTGGCTCCCTGAAAAGACAGAGAGGGTCGGGCATGGTGATGGACACTTGGAAGGTCGAGGTCGAGTAATCACTTGAGCCCTGGAGGTCAAGGCTGTGATTGTGCCACTGCACTTCAGTCTGGGCAACAGAATAAAACCTTGTCTCAAAAAAAAATTTTTTTAATAAATAAAAATTTTATTTTATTTTATTTTATTTTTATTTTTATTTTTTTTTTTTTGAGACAGAGTCTCGCTCTGTCGCCCGGGCTGGAGTGCAGTGGCCGGATCTCACGTCACTGCAAGCTCCGCCTCCCGGGTTCCCGCCATTCTCCTGCCTCAGCCTCCCGAGTAGCTGGGACTACAGGCGCTCACCACCGCGCCCGGCTAATTTTTTGTATTTTTTAGTAGAGACGGGGTTTCACCGTGTTAACCAGGATGGTCTTGATCTCCTGACCTCGTGATCCGCCCGTCTCGGCCTCCCAAAGTGCTGGGATTACAGGCTTGAGCCACCGCGCCCGGCCATAAATAAAAATTTTAAAAATAAAGCTCCAGGCCTTCTTCCCATGGCTCTGAGTAGGCTTACAGGGGCCCTCCTTAAACCCACTTCTTTCTCAGCTGGATCTGGGGAATCCTTCTTTCCCTTAATGAACTCATTTGCACAGGCACTGTGCTCCAGAGCTCTCACTGTCTCCAATCTCCCCTCTGCCCAGCACCCTTTCTCTCCTTGCCCTCACTCTCCACCTCTAACTTCCCACATCCCAGAGATTCTCTGGAGGCTAAAGCAACTCCATCTTGGATGCTGACCCACCATGTTCACTTTTTTTTTTTTTTTGAGACAGAGACTCGCTCTGTTACCCAGACTGGAGTGCAGGGGCATGATCTCAACTCACTGCAGCCTCTGCCTCCCAAGTTCAAGTGTTTCTTCTGCCGCAGCTTCCTGAGTAGCTGGGACTACAGGCACACATCACCACACCCAGCTAATTTTTTTTTCTTGTATTTTTAGTAGAGACGGGGTTTCACCACATTAGCCAGGCTGGTCTTGAACTCCTGACCTCGTGATCTGCCCGCCTCAGCCTCCCAAAGTGCTGGCATTACAGGCATGAGCCACTGCGCCCAGGCCGGAAAGAGGATGCTCTATAGATTTCCCCCACAAGAGATGGCCTTGCAGGGCCATTCCAAAATATGTCAAAGAAATACATCTGGGGATAAAATACTTTGATTTCCCTTAGGGCATGTTATCTATTATGTGATGCCATACCAGAGTCAGGTTGGAGTCGGTTATCTTATTGCTACAAAGAGTCTGTTCCATCAGTCTTGGGATCTCTATTATTCCTTCTTATTTCTTGAGACATGGTCTCACTCTGTCACCCAGTCTGGAGTGCAGTGGTGCAATGTCCATTCACTGAAACCTCTGCCTCCTGTGTTCAGGTGATTCTCGTGCCTCACCCCCTGAGTAGCTGGGATTACATGTGTGCGCCACCACACCCAGCTAATTTTTGTATTTTTAGTAGAGACGGGGTTTTGCCATGTTGGCCAGGCTGGCCTTGAACTCCTGGCCTCATGTCATCTGCCCACCTCGGCCTCCCAAAGTGCTGGGATTGCAAATGTGAACTACTGTGCCCAGCCAGGAGCTCTGTTTTAATGCTAACGCTGGTCACTTGTGCCTGAACTCCAAAGGGAAGAAATATAATGAGGTGTGTCTGACCCCCTCCCTTCTCATCATGACCTGAATTCGTTTTTCAGGTTTAGGTGGGATCCCCTTGGACAAGAGGGGCTCTATTCGGTTGGTTGGGGGGCCTAGAATTTTACTTTTTGTTTACAATATTTCTCCTGAAAGAGTTAGGGGCTCACAAGGAATTTCCTTGTGAACAACTTGTGAGGAAAGTCATCTGGGAAGATATGTGGCCTTCTGTCACTGGGGTATTCTGCTTTACTCCAATGATAAGGCAATGACACAGGGTTGTGAAATCACAGCTATGTGTTTGGGGAAAAAAAGGAAAGCAGTATTGTGTGACTATGTTCCCAAACTTCACTTGCCCTTAGCCATAGTGACCGGGAGTTTTGGGGCCGGGAGATTCTGTTTTCTTTCACAATGAAATAGATACAATTAAATGTATAGAAAGGAAAAAAATAAAAAGATGGAAATGAGGAAACTCTGATTCCTGGGTGGCCACGTAGTTACCCATGGCACAGAGCTGCAGTTACTGAAGGTAAAGTTTGCAGTGGAATTTAGAAATGGATCCAAATCTTGGAGGAGTCAGTTTACTGGATGCCTAAGAAAACACAAACAAAATAAGAAAAAGGGGTAATATTCAATGCCATAGTTATTGTTACCTATCACAGCTAAAGTAAAATTAAAACAGAATGCTGGCTTCAATCTTGACGCTACACTAAGATTAGATTTCAGTGAATGTAAGTCTTAACCTCTAGCTCAGAGCCACCTCCCAAGGATGAAATCATGTAGAGACAATAGAAAGTACTTCTGAGAATTGTGGTTACCAAAAACCTAGTAACTGTGGTGGAGGAGCAAAACAAAGTAGAGAAACCAGAGGGTACAGTCTGAAGGAGACTGCTATCAGCAGCTTCCAGAGGAGCCTTTACTAAAATGGATGATGAGAGTAACTGGATGATGAGAGTGTACAAATGGGGTGTACACTGCCTTCGAGTGTACTAATGGATGATGAGAGTAAAATGGATGATGAGAGTAACTAATGGATGATGAGAGTAAAATGGATGATGAGAGTAACTAATGGATGATGAGAGTAAAATGGATGATGAGAGTAACGATGAGAGTAACTAACTGGGGGGCAGGGCTTTTGGTTTCCTTTTCTTTCTTTCTTTTTTTTTTTTTTTTTTGTTTTTTTCTGGTTTTTTTCTTTTTCTTTTTTTTCTTTTTTTTTTTTTTTTGAGCGGAAGTGTCACTCTTGTCGCCCAGGCTGGAGTGTAATGGCATGATCTCGCCTCACTGCAACCTCCACCTCCCAGGTTCAAGCAATTCTCCTGCCTCAGCCTCCTGAGCAGCTGGGACTATGGGCACACAACACCACTCCCGGCTAATTTTTGTCTTTTTAGTTGAGACGGGATTTCACCATCTTGGCCAGGCTGGTCTCAAACTCCTGACCTCAGGTGATCCACCCACATCAGCCTCTCAAAGTGCTGGGATTACAGGTATGAGCCACCGAGCCTGGCCTTTTTTTTTTTTTTTTTTTTTTTCTTTTAGACAGAGTTTTGCTCTGTCAACCAGGCTGTAGTGCCGTGGCACAACCTAAGCTCACTGCAACCTCTGCCTCCTGGGTTCAAGCAATTCTCCTGCCTCAGCCTCCCAAGTAGTGGGGATTACAGACGCCCACCACCATGCCCAGCTAATTCTTTGTATTTTTAGTACAGACAGTTTTGTCACGTTGGCCAGGCCTCTTTCAAAAATTTTGTAAGTAACTAGAATTTCTATAGATCTCCGGAATGCACACGTGCTGAAACTCATTGGGAAACTCTTGCTGCATGAAAGCTCAAAATGTCTACAAATGGAATCATTTATCATAACCTATGTTAATATGGAAATTATCCTTAAGCTTCCTTCCTAAGGTCCATAAGTGCCCCTAAGGAAAATACACCATGGTACACTCAGTCCTTTCTTGCTGAGGTGCCCCACTGCACTTTTCTGTAGTGTTCCTTCACTCTAATAAAACTTCCCTTTTTCACAGGCACAGTGGCTCACGCCTGTAATCCCAGCACTTCGGGAGGCTGAAGTGGGTGGATCACTTGAAGTCAGGAGTTTGAGACCAGCCTGGCCAACACGGTGAAACCCCGTCTGTATTAAAACTACAAAAATTAGCTGGGCGTGGTTGTGGGTGCCAGAGATCCCAGCTGCTCAGGAGGCTGAGGCAGGAGAATTGCTTGAACCCGGGAGGCAGAGGTTGCAGTGAGCCAAGATTGTGCCACTGCACTCCAACCTGGGTGATGAGACTGAAACTCTATCTCAAAGAAAAAGAAAAAAACAAAAAAACAGAACTTCCGTTTTTCAAACCTATACTGTCATCAGTAAGTTCTTACCAACCCCCAAGTTGGCCACTTTCCCATGCTGGGACTCTGGCACCTAGCTCAGCAGAACTGTTTTAGGGCTAACTTATATAACAGATATTGTAAACCAAAAAGCGTCTCATACAGGTCTCAATCAACTTAGGGATTAATTTTGCCAAGGTTTAGGACCATGGCTCATAACAGCCTCAGGAGGTCCTGAGAACATGTGCCCAAGGTGATTAGGCTACAGCTTGATTTTATACATTTTAGAAAGACAGAAGTTACAGGCAAAGACATAAATCCATATTTGGAAGGTATACATTGGTTCGGCCTGGAAAGACAGAACATCTCAAAGTGGGAGCTTCCAGGTCACAGGTGGATTCAAAGATTTTCTGATTGGCAATTGATTGAAAAACTAAGCTTTGCCTGAAGAGGTAAAGTCAGTGTAAAGAAATGCTTGCGTTTAGATAAGAAGCACTGTGGAAGTAGAGGTTGTTTTTATGTAGATGAAGTCTCCAAGTAGAAGGCTTCAGCGAGAATAGATGGTAAATATGTCTTATTCAACCTTAAAAAGTGTCATATTCTCAGTTAAATCTCTCCTGGATCAGGAAAAGATGTGGAAAGGGAAGATGATTCTCTTTTTTTTTTTTTTTTTTTTTTTTTTTTTTTTTTTTTTTTTTTGAGATGGAATCTCCTCACTCTGTTACCCAGGCTGGAGTGCAGGGGCGTGATCTCAGCTCACTGCAACCTCCCAGGTTCAAGTGATTCTTCTGCTTCAGCCTCCCAAGTAGCTGGGACTACAGACACACATCACCACACCCAGCTAATTTTTTTGTTCTAGTATTTTTAGTAGAGATGGGGTTTCACCATATTAGCCAGGCTGGTCTCAAACTCCTGACCTTGTGATCCACCTGCCTTGGCCTCCCAAAGTGCTAGCATTACAGGCATGAGCCACTGCGCCCAGGCCGGAAAGAGGATGCTCTATATATTTCCCCCACAAGAGATGGCCTTGCAGGGCCATTCCAAAATATGTCAAAGAAATACATCTGGGGATAAAATATTTTGATTTCCCTTAGGGCATGTTATCTATTATGTGATGCCATACCAGAGTCAGGTTGGAGTCGGTTATCTTATTGCTACAAAGAGTCTGTTCCATCAGTCTTGGGATCTCTATTATTCCTTCTTATTTCTTGAGACATGGTCTCACTCTGTCACCCAGTCTGGAGTGCAGTGGTGCAATGTCCATTCACTGAAACCTCTGCCTCCTGTGTTCAGGTGATTCTCGTGCCTCAGCCCCCTGAGTAGCTGGGATTACATGTGTGCCCCACCATACCCAGCTAATTTTTGTATTTTTAGTAGAGACGGGGTTTTGCCATGTTGGCCAGGCTGGCCTTGAACTCCTGGCCTCATGTCATCTGCCCACCTCGGCCTCCCAAAGTGCTGGGATTGCAAATGTGAACTACTGTGCCCAGCCAGGAGCTCTGTTTTAATGTTAACGCTGGTCACTTGTGCCTGAACTCCAAAGGGAAGAAATATAATGAGGTGTGTCTGACCCCCTCCCTTCTCATCATGACCTGAATTCGTTTTTCAGGTTTAGGTGGGATCCCCTTGGACAAGAGGGGCTCTATTCGGTTGGTTGGGGGGCCTAGAATTTTACTTTTTGTTTACAATATTTCTCCTGAAAGAGTTAGGTGCTCACAAGGAATTTCCTCTTGAACAACTTGTGAGGAAAGTCATCTGGGAAGATATGTGGCCTCTGTCACTGGGGTATTCTGCTTTACCCCAATGATAAGGCAATGACACAGGGTTGTGAAATCACAGCTATGTGTTTGGGGAAAAAAAGGAAAGCAGTATTGTGTGACTATGTTCCCAAACTTCACTTGCCCTTAGCCATAGTGACCGGGAGATTTGGGGCCGGGAGATTCTGTTTTCTTTCACAATGAAATAGATACAATTAAATGTATAGAAAGGAAAAAAATAAAAAGATGGAAATGAGGAAACTCTGATTCCTGGGTGGCCACGTAGTTACCCATGGCACAGAGCTGCAGTTACTGAAGGTAAAGTTTGCAGTGGAATTTAGAAATGGATCCAAATCTTGGAGGAGTCAGTTTACTGGATGCCTAAGAAAACACAAACAAAATAAGAAACAAGGGTACTATTCAATGCCATAGTTATTGTTACCTATCACAGCTAAAGTAAAATTAAAACAGAATGCTGGCTTCAATCTCGACGCTACACTAAGATTAGATTTCAGTGAATGTAAGTCTCAGCCACTAGCTCAGAGCCACCTCCCAAGGATGAAATCATATAGGGACAATAGAAAGTACTTCTGAGAATTGTGGTTACCAAAAACCTAGTAACTGTGGGGGAGGAGCAAAACAAAGTAGAGAAACCAGAGGGTACAGTCTGAAGGAGACTGCTATCAGCAGCTTCCGGAGGAGCCTTTACTAAAATGGATGATGAGATTAACTGGATGATGAGAGTGTACAAAGGGGGTGTACACTGCCTTCGAGTGTACTAATGGATGATGAGAGTAAAATGGATGATGAGAGTAACTAATGGATGATGAGAGTAACTAATGGATGATGAAAGTAACGATGAGAGTAACTGGGGAGCAGGGCTTTTGGTTTCCTTTTCTTTCTTTTTTTTTTTTTTTTTTGTTTTGTTTTGGTTTTGGTTTTTTGTTTTTTTGTTTTTGTTTTTTTTTTGAGCGGAAGTGTCACTCTTGTCGCCCAGGCTGGAGTGTAGTGGCGTGATCTCGCCTCACTGCAACCTCCACCTCCCGGGTTCAAGCAATTCTCCTGCCTCAGCCTCCCAAGTAGCTGGGACTACAGGCGCACAACACCACACCCGGCTAATTTTTGTGTTTTTAGTATTTTCTGGTGGGGGTCCAGGTTTCTGAAAACAACTCAGAGACATATGTTAAGATGTTATCTTTCTTTAGTTTTCATAGGAAACCAAATACATTAGGACTCCAATTTCCTTGGCTATTGTTTTAAGCTACCATTACCTTCTTGTTGATCAAGTTGCTCATATACTTCTCAAGGCTAGCTAGATGCCTGGAATTTCCCTTGAAGGAAGTCAAGATTTTCCTTTATCTCCATACTGGCTGATGGGGACCGAGTAAGCCCGCAAGAGGGGTCCCTGCTCCATCTTAAGGAGCTGCTGGATTCTACAAGTGCCTAATAAACAGCTCTCGCCTGACCGACAAAGAGCTACTTGCTTTCTGCATAGCAATTCCAAAGTGAACAGACAATATCTGTTTGGAAGACTGCCACTCTGTTAGAAGCAGCATCAGGAAAACCTTTCTTTTGAGCTATTTATAACTAATAACAATTGACCAAGTATACTTTTGTGAGTGAAACTGACCTTTCTCCCTACAAGAATTCTCCAACATTTGGAAACTATTTGTGAGTATTTTCACTTATGGCAATATAATTATTGGCACAAGCTCAATCAGATTCGGTTTTCTTTCATAACAGGAACCATTGGAGATGCTCGTTACTCTTTGAAGGCTTACAGCGGAATGAATTCAAATACGACTTATTTGAGGAATTGAAGTTGACTTTATGGAGCTGATAAGAATCTTCTTGGAAAAAAAAAAGACTGGGTATATTTTCAATACACTTTCCTTTTAAGGTCCCTTACCTGTGGAAAGTAAAGAATGTCACTTTCTGACAGGCCCAGGAACCTCAAGTTATGTGGGGATCTCAGGAAGATGGGGGAATTCACCCAGTTCGTACAGGTGAAATTGTTGTTGCAAAGATTATGAATATGAGAGAAGTCTAGCATGGCTGACTTCATCTCATGTCTGGCCTCAGGCCGGCTGCCCTTGCTCACTCTTGGGCATAGGCCAAGCTAGCCATGGGAGGAATTTAGTTTATAGTTTAACTTTGAAGCAAGGATGATAATACTTACTCCCTAAAATGAACCCCTTCCTTGCTCAGGGACTGAAACTACCTTTGTAAGACAAATGAAAGCCCACAAGATTAGGATTATGAGAGGGTCCTGAATTATGCTAAAACACAGGTGTAGCTGACTGATAACCAGTATTGTCCCACAGCTTGCCTTTCTATAATCTCTTGCTCCTCAGGAGTCACATGGCCAGAGGTCCTGAGATTTCTGGTCCTGTGACCCCCACCCAGAGACGGACTTGGTGCATGAGGACCGTTTTCCACACCCCTATGATGTCATCCTCAAACAATCAGCAGCACCCATTCCCTAGCCCCCTGCCTGCCAAACTATCCATAAAAATCCTGGCCCCTGAGTTATTAAGGAGATTGATTAATAATCCCAGCCCTGCCCTTGGATTGCTCTGATTTAATTAAACCTCTACTGCAATACCACAGACTCAGTGAATTGGTTTTGTCTGTGCAATGGGCAACAAGAACCCGCTGGGTGGTTATACAGGTACTACAAGCACAGGCTGATGGCAAATTATTGGTTTTGCTTCCTGCCCTTGGTGTTTCTAAACATCTAGTCCAAAATTACTCGTGAAATGTCCAGCAAAGCCAATTTTAAAAGAGGCTATCTGGCCAATCACTATTCTTTCTGCACGTCATTGCAAATAATCAGGTTACGGCTGGGCACGGTGGCTCACGCCTGCAATCCCAGCACTTTGGGAGGCTGAGGCAGGTGGATCACCTGAGATCAGGAGTTCGAGACCAGCCTGGGCAACATGGTAAAACCTTATCTCCACAAAAAATACAAAATTAACCAGGCATGGTGGCATGCACCTGTAATCCCAGCTACTTACAAGGCTGAGGGAGGAGAATCACTTGAACCTGGGAGGCAGAGATTGCGGCGAGCTGAGATCACACCACTGCACTCCAGCCTGGGCAATAGAGTGAGACTCTGTCTCAAACAATAATAATCAGACCAAGTATAATGAGATTAAAATTTATTTTGCAAATAAACTGGTCCTACTATAATTTATCTTTTGTAGAAATGTGGAAACTGAAGATAAAAAAATTAGGTTTCAGAAGAAAACTCTAGTACACCTGTTATTAGATTCTAGCCCTAAACATTGTTTTTGAGGTTTTTATTATTTACCTGCAATTTGGACTAAATTCTGAATTATTTCCTGACTACAAGTATCCAAAGAATAAATGGGTTTTCATTTTCTTTATGATAGTTTTAGTTGGCTTCTAATGCAACAACAATTTTTATTGTATCCTGTGTGCATTCTATTCCTACTATTCAAATTATTAATGTTATAGATCTTTCATTGTAGTACTTCTGAATTAACCAAAATCACAGTATTCTGAAGATGATTCTACAAAGCCTGCTGATGATTTCTACAAAGCCTGCTGTATTGTTGCTGTAGAAAACACATTGATGCAACATGTTCACCCCAACCTCCTCCCTAAAGGCTCAGGGCCCATCGCGGAAGAGGAAGGCGCGTGAGATTGTAAGAGCCAAATTAGGGGGATGGAGTGTGGAGGATAAGGACACTTCATCTTGGTTACTTACCTGCCAAATTGACTTCTGATGAAAGCCAACTCCAGAAATGTGCCTACAGTTTCTCCTTTCACCTAAACGCTGCCCTTGGTCAAATCCTTCTCTTCTTCTAAGCAATCAACTTCAATTCCTTGTATAACCCACAGTATAAAAGGGCTTTTATACCATTCTATCCTATTGCATGTAAGCCTTGGGTCTGGGAGGTAACAGTGTGGGACTCCACCATCTCATCTCCCTGCCACCCAAACATGCCTGTTCTTCCCTAAGCAACATTAAATTTTTGTACTTCAGAAATTTGATTTGTCAGCCTCTTTCTTCAGATGCTCAGCTTCTTTGGCCTTTGGGAGTAGTTTTGCATAGACCTGTTCACAACGGGATGTTCTGGGGGGTTTGGGGGTGTTGTTTTGCTTTGTTTTTTGTTTTGTTTAGAGACAGGGTCTCACTCTGTCACCCAGGGTGGAGTGCAGTGGTGCAGTCATGGCACACTGTAGCCTCAAACTCCTAGGCTCAAGCAGTCCTCCCACCTTGGCCTCCCAAAGTTCTGGGATTACAAGCATGAGCCACCATGCCCAGCCCTGGTACTTTTCTTTAAAGACATTTACACAGTGTAGGAATTACTGCGGGTGCACTGCTCAGATCCCCTTCCCCAGGATGCTCATTCCTACCTCATAGATGATCTTTCTGCAGAGATTTGACCTCAGCTGAAGGGCAGTCACCTGGTCCAGGTGGTTGCTGTTCAGCTCCTTCCCGAGAACAGCCAACAGCCAGGGACGTGCTAGCACAGAGATCTAAGGGAGACCAAGGCAAGGCCACTTCTGTGCTGTGGTGCATGCTCCAGAGCCTCCCTGGCATCGGACTTGAGGGTCTCCAGCCAGATCTGGTCTTTGGTGCTTTCCTTGAGCTCCCCAGCACACTCCTGCAATGCACCTCTTTTTTCTTTTTTTTTTTTTTTTTTTTTGAGATGGAGTTTCACTCTTCTTACCCAGGCTGGAATGCAATAGTGCAATCTCAGCTTACCGCAACCTCCGCCTCCCGGGTTCAAGTGATTTTCCTGCCTCAGTCTCCCAAGTAGCTGGAATTACAAGCATGCACCACCACGCCAGGCTAATTTTGTAGTTTTAGTAGAGATGGGGTTTCTCCATGTTGGTCAGGCTGGTCTTGAACTCCTGACCTCAGTTGATCCTCCCGCCTTGGCCTCCCACAGTGTTGGGATTACAGGCATGAGCCACTGCACCTGGCCCAATGCACCTCTTGAATCACCTCCTCATGCTTTGCTTTCAGAGAGCATGGTCCCCAACATGTGATGCCAGCAAAGATTCTAGAAAGCCCCGTGACCATCACTTCTGGGTTTAGATGACTCCCCCAGCCCCCGCCACAAGATGGCAGTGACCACCTCATCACAGAGGTGCTGAGGGTCTGCAGGGCATGTGTCTACTGTGAGGTCACTGATATTTCACCTGGAGTAAACCGAGGTGAGCTACAGGAGATGTTCCACAGGCACATAGTCTCTGTGGTTTTGAACATCGTGGGGGAAATGAAAGTAATAGGAGTGTGGAGTTGAATGGCTACCAACAAGCGCCACTGATGCATGGAAGAGAGAAAAGGATAGGCTCAGACCTATAGCTCAGCAATTTAAAGTACATATGAGAGCCGCAAGGGATGTTCATCTCCTGAAGCCAAAGGACAGGTAGAGCTCAGGGCCAGGAACAAGACTTCATCACAAAAAGGCAAAACTTCAAAAAAGGCGGGGAAGGGCTGCACCCTCACCCCACGATAGGTAAACAATAAAAGCTTCCTATTTAGGACCCTTTCTGACCCAGCCCTATGCATGTCTTTCTCTCTTCTCTTTCTTTCCTTCCTTCCTTCCTTCCTTCCTTCCTTCCTTCCTTCCTTCCTTCCTTCCTTCCTCCTTCCTTCCTTCCTTCCTTCCTTCCTTCCCTTCCCTTTCCTTCCCTTTCCTTCCTTCCTTTCTCTCTTTCTTTCTTTCTTTCTTTCTTTCGAGTTTCACTCTTGTTGCCCAGGCTGGAAGTGCAATGGCACGATCTCAGCTCACCACAACCTCCGCTTCCCGGGTTCAAGCGATTCTCCTACCTCAAGCTCCGGAGTAGCTGGGATTACAGTCATGCACCACCACGCCTGGATAATTTTGTATTTTTAGTAGAGACGGCATTTCTCCATGTTGGTCAGGCTGGTCTCGAACTCCTGACCTCAGGTGATCCGCCCGCCTCAGCCTCCCAAAGTGCTGGGATTACAGGTGTGAGCCACCGCGCCCGGCCTCCTATGTATCCCTTCCTATTGTTCATTCTGATTTGCATCCTTTTGCTCTAATAAAACTTTAAAAAATAAGTATAGTACTATCCTGAGTTCTGTGAGACACAGTAGCAGACCATCCATCCTGAGAGGGTCATGGGAACCCCTGAATTTACAGCAAGTTGGTCAGAAATGTGGGTAGCCTGAGATCCTTAAACCTGGGGCTTACATATGATGTGCTCAGTCTTGTGACAGAATTTTTCCACAAAGAGCGGACTCTGGGCTAACTCCGGGCTAACTCCGGGTTATCTTTACTAGTCAGCATCAGAAGTGAATTGCACTGCAATACAGCAGTGAGGTAAAGGATCAAAAAGTTCAGAGATGGGCATTTTGGAAAGTGGCTTTTTATTTTTTTGAGATGGGGTTTCACTCTGCCGCCCAGGCTGGAGTGTAGTGGCACCATCTCGGCTCACGGCAACCTCCACTTCCCAGATGCAAGCGATTCTCCTTCCTCAGCCTCCCGGGTAGCTGGGATTACAGGCATGCACCACCACGCCCAGCTAATTTTTGTATTTTTAGTAGAGATGGGATTTCACCATATTGGTTAGGCTGGTCTCAAACTCCTGACCCTGGGATCCGCCCGCCTTGGCCTCCCAAAGTGCTCGGATTACAGGTGTGAGCCACCGTTCCCAGCCAGAACGTGTCTTTTATAGAAGAAAATAACCCAGCAGCTGAGTAGGATGGTGAGGAGGGCTGGTGAGCACTGCAGTAGTGAGAGGGACATGAGCATCACTGAGATGCAAGTAATGGTCATGTTTCATAGGTCAAAGTTCAAAGCAGGGGACAGTTACAGGGCAGGGCTTCATAGTACCAGTGTGATGAAAGTGTCTGGGAGTGGCTGAGGCCAGCACTATGCCATGGGAAGCAAGGTGGGCCTGAGGAGGAGGCAGCAGCAGCAGCCTGCAGCAAGTGGGGCTGCCCTGCAGAGACCTGAGTCATGTTATAGAGCACAGTGTCTGTAAGGCCAAGAAATGTGGACAACCAAGTGTGTCAATTACTAGACATACTCAAGAGGAGCAGGAAGGGCAGGGCACGGTGGCTCATGCCTGTAATCCCAGCTACTCAGGAGACTGTGGAAGGAGAATCGCTGGAACCCAGGAGGTAGAGATTGCAATGAGACCAGATCATGCCACTGCACTCCAGTCTGTGCGACAGAAGCGAGACTCCATCTCAAAAAACAAGAAAGAAAGAAAAAAGGAAAAAAGAAAAGCCTATGTATACTTCTCAAGAAAATACAAATAATCAAAACCAATATCACATGCCTGGGCACAAATTTCATATATATAACAGATTTAAGCATATAAGGGTGATCATCCTCTCATATCTCAATATTTTTTAGTTTTCCATTTTTTTAACTAAAAGAAGTTAATGCCAATTATATACTTTTTTTTTTTTTTTTTTTTTTTGAGATGGATCTCACTTCTTCGCCCAGGCTGGAGTGCAATGGTGCGATCTCGGCTCACTGCAAAGTCTGCCTCCTGGGTTCAAGCAATTATCCTGCCTCAGCCTCCCAAGTAGCTGGAATTACAGGA